CAGCTCCAAACAAAGAGTGACATTTTCCAATGGTTCAGGGAAATAAATGAACTTCCATAGCTCTTTTACTCTTTGTGGCCAGAACTGGAGACTGCGTATTTACTGAAGGGCACACAAACTCACCTGATTTATTGCTTGACCCTTGACGAAAGTGTTGATATTTGCGTGGTGAGACCTGGGTGATAGCATATTTTGAAAATTTTTTTCCAGGGTGTGAAGTATATATGTTAGTTTTAAATTTCTTTGCAATTAGAAGTGTTTTGACTGGCTGCATTTTTAAAGCCTAAGAATGCACAACCTCTGCAACGTATAGAGCTCTAAATTTAATTATTATCATTCTTACAGGTAATATTTAGAAAAATTAACACTAAGCACTTTGTGGCCATTTCAATGAGTTTCTTCCACATTCTTCTGACAGACTGACTGGCTCATTAAAATAGAACTACAAATCCCCCATGGAAGAAACACAAGGGGTATTTGTTTAATTCTTTGATCCAGGACTAGAGCCAGGTAATTGAACAGGGGGTTGTCTAACCTATTGTGAAAGGTTTCCAGGAACAAATATTTCATCCCCTGGTAGCCTGTTTCAGTGTCAAATCCAGAAGTTCTCAGCCACGTCTTATTCAAATCCTTCTTGCGTCGTCAAAAGCTCTGCTCTCTGTGGCTACTGAGAACGGTTGGGAAACAGCCTATGTATCATAGTCTTTCAGATTCCTAATGATAGTCATTAAATTTTCCTTCAGCTCTCTTCTCACCAAGCTAATTAACCCAATTCTTTGAATCTTTCCTTATAAGACTCCACACAGCCATCCAGCCTCGTTTACATAGCGATTCAGTTCTAGAGCTCAAATTTTTTCAAGGGTACTTACTGGGTATTTGGCTGTGAGACATTTGAAAGGGTCTCAAGGAATTCCAACTAAGGGTATCCTCTGTGATGACTTAATAAATCCATGTTAGCAACCAGGTACTGAGATCTGCCAGATACCCCTTATTCCAGGCAAAGTTATCAGGGGCTTATGTTTTACAGTGGACAGAGCTTCTCTTTGTGGAGTTTAAATATTATCAAGGAGTTTACATTCTCAACGGATGAAGTCATTTCAGCCTACCTTCACTGTACTGTCATCATTAACGTTGGTTGCTCTTCCGAAAGTAGCTTCCTTTCAAAACTGATTTATCAAGAAGAGTCCGTTGGTTGAGGGAGCTGACAAAATAATTCACATCAGAAGAACCTGAATTAGGAAGAGGTCAGATGGCAATGGCCTGGGTTTAGTATCTGTCCACCGTCACAGACTAAAAACGTGAGGCCTCTGTCACATCCGTGGTGCTTATCTTAATAATGCTCCACATAGCACTTGGCCACCCCATGCTACTCTTTATTTCACTTTTTAAGACCGGCATAGCCATTGCAATAACACCATAAACTTCTGTCTTGTCATTACACAAACATTAAATGTGCATTTGAAATTAGTGAGCAAATGCAGATAAACTAAAAGAAGGGAAGGAAAAAATCATCCTAAGTGTAAATGGTCTAAACAGCCCAATTAAAATGCAGAGATTGGGCTTCCCTGGTGGTGCAGTGGTTAAGAATCTGCCTGCCAATGCAGGGGACACAGGTTCGAGCCCTAGTCCAGGAAGATCCTACATGCCACGGAGCAACAAAGCCCATGTGCCACAACTACTGAGCCTATGCTCTACAGCCGTGAGCCACAGCTACTGAAGGCCACGTGCCACAACTACTGAAGCACGCGTGCCTAGAGCCCATGCTCTGCAGCAAGAGAAGCCACCGCAATGAGAAGCCTGTGCACCGCAGTGAAGAGTAGCCACCTGCTCGCCGCAACTAGAGAAAAGCCTGCGTGCAGCAATAAAGACCCAGTGCAGCCAAAAATAAAATAAATTAATTAAAATGCAGAGATTTTTCAAACTAGATAAAATAACAAGATCCAACATAGGGTATCTATAAGAAATAGATATAGATACTTTAAATACAAAGATATCTATGGGTTAAAACTTAAAGGATGGAAAAGATATACCGTGCAAACAGTAATCTTAAGAAAGGTGGAATTGCTTTATCAATATCAGATGGCAAAGACTTAAAACAAGTAATGTTACTAGGACTAAAGACGTATATTTTATAATGATAAATAAATGAATGAATCAAGAAGATGTAATGACACTAACTTTGCATGCACTGTAAAAAATCTTTCAAACATATGAAGCAAACACTGATTATACAAAAAGTAAAGATAAATGAATCATTTTAACATTTTTTCTCTTTAGATTTTCATCTTTTTGTCCAACTTGATTTATAAGAGCTTTTTACTTATAATTCTGTAAGAAAGTTAAAACAATTTATCTGTTATATATGTATTATCAACATTCCCAGTTTGCTACATGTCATTTTATTTTGTGTGTTATGTAGTCATTGTTAATCTTTCCTTTATAGTTGTTGGTTTTGGTATCATGCTTAGAACATACATTCTTATCCTGATATTACAGATGTAACTACCATCACAGTGTCATTTTCTTCTAGAAGTTTTTGATTCCATTTAATTTTTCTTCTTAAATATTTAAGCTTTTTGGAATTTAAACACTTCTTAATTTCATGTAATTTTTACTTTTAAGTATTTAATTATTTTGACATTTTGCCTTCAGAATATAGTGTGTGATAGTAATCTAACTTTACTTTCTATTAATCATTTTCCCATCACTGTTGGAAACCTGTCTTTTCCCAGTTTTCTTTACAAGTTTAGATGGAATGACTTTTCTTTCTCCCCCCTGCCTTTTCTGTCAAATAGTCACTGAGCAGCTATTACACACCAGGTAGTATGCTTAGCACTGGGGACTGGAAAAAAGAAAAAAGGGTGGAAAAACCAAATACGTTGTCTTTGAGCTTATGGTCTTTTAGAAAGCGTAGGGGCAAATAGTAGTGGTATGAACAAAATGCTGTACAATCAAGATGAAGGAATGACACTTTGTTTCATGACCACCCATCAGATATATAATGAGCTCTAAGCTCTGTTCATGTTATAAACATGACCAGACCTTTTAGGACTAGACAATCGAGTGGAAGATTTTTTTTTTAAATGCTTACATTTTTATAGTAATGTTTTGCGTCCAAGAAAATCCTTCTCTTCTGTAGTAACGACCTCTTTTAGGTGCACTATTAGCCCTCGGGTCTTAGAGCCTCATGCACTCACAACCTGATTTCAATGTCATCTGAAAACATTTCTCTCTGGTGGCCTCCATTTTCCCTCCTCATACGTCTCTTACTGGCCTCACAATTGCGGACTTATTTTATTCACCACACAATGTCTTTGCCCTCCTGCCATCTGTAATTTATGCCTTACACATGCTGCTCCCTGGTATTATTTAATTCTGCTTTAAAAAATGACAAGAGTTTTGTGAACCACTTGGTAGGAATCCCCCCATTAAAAATATTGTTATGCATAACGGTGTTTAGAAAAAAGCCCCAGCAGCGAATTTCAGTTTTGTAAGATAATGCTCTTTATAGCACAAGCCAGCTGGTGGTTACAGTTATCATTAATATTATAAAATAAAGATAACAGGAGCCCCGGGGAAAGAAGAATGACCTCCTAAGAGAAGGCTAGGGTTTCTAATCCAGGTCTGAACCTTCCATTCAGCTACACAAAAGGAAGCAGCAACATTGCCAGGGTCAGATGTGGGTTTTCACCTCCCCCCGCAGCAGGATCTCCGAAGTGCTAAAATGTGCAGGCTGTATTGGACGACCATCGACCTCTCTTTTCTTCAATATCATTTTTCAGCAGAGCACACATTGGTCATTAAAACATCAAGAGTGTCCTGAGGGCTTCCCTGGTGGAGCAGTGGTTGAGAGTCCGCCTGCCGATGCAGGGGACATGGGTTCGTGCCCCGGTCCGGGAAGATCCCACATGCCGCGGAGCGGCTGGGCCCGAGAGCCATGTCCCCTGAGCCTGCGCGTCCGGAGCCTGTGCTCCGCAACGGGAGAGGCCACAGCAGTGAGAGGCCCGCGTACCACACACACACACACACACACACACACACACACACACACAAAAGCGTGTCCTGAGAAGTGCAGAGAAATGGTAGCTTTGATTTTGTTTTCTCCTTGGCGCTCTTGCACCAGCATGCTAATTTTAATTTCCTGATCACAATGTCTTTCCTGGGTAATCTGGGTGACATGGAATAGAGCACAATGTGGAAGATACTACCTCACTAACCACCACAGCCCATTCCTCTCCTTTCTGGACACGCGGTTAATCCACACTCTCCATCTGTCTGCCATGACGCTGAGTTCTAGCCGGTGGAAAGCCAGCAATAGGCTCTGTTTCCAGGCTGGGGACCCATAAAACCTGCCGATGTTTGATATTCGCAGCTCTTTTTCCTCTCACCAGCTTGACCCAACTACAGAAACGTTGGAAGCCTTTGCTCAGTACAATCGACATGAGATTGAGGGAGACTGGGTCTCCAATACTTGGAGGACAGCTGCTGTTCTGGGCTAAATTGTGTGCCCCCAAAATTCATATGTTAAAGTCCCAACCCCTCTGGTACGTCATATTGTGACCTCACTTGGAGATAGGGGCAATCAAGTTATGGTGAAGTCATTAGCGTCGGTCCTAACCCAATGTGACTGGTGTTTACAAACAGTGGAAACTGGACACACACACAGCGCGGAAGATGACGTCAAGATGCAGGGAGAATAGGCCTCCACAGAGCCTCCCCTCAGAGTCCCCAGGAGGAACCAATCCTGCTGGCACCTCCATTTTGGTCTCTGACCCTTAGAACTGGGAGACTGTACATTTCTGTTTAAGTCGCCCAGTTTGTGGTATTTGGTTAAGCAGCCCAAGCCAACTCATCCAGCCGCCCACCTAGCATGTACACTCATTTTGGAATTCATTGAAGTGAGAAATAAATATTCTCTTTTGGGTTTGTTTGTTTGTTACAGAAGTCAGCTTTATCTTAACTGAGAGATGAGAAGAATACACTGTATGTCACCGTCCGCATCTTACGCCCGTTTTAAGCTCTGATCTTCCCCAGGAATCTGACGCAAGCCCTCTGGGGACAGTCCTGAAGACAAGGTGCAAAGGAAGAGTGTAGTAGAGGTAGGGACGTCGGTGTGAGGGTGGACTCGTGCCAAGCCTGAGGCTGGGAGGGCAGCTGTGAGCACAGATCTGAGGGCTGGTCCCCAAGCAGGCGAGTGCAGGAGTTCAGAGCAGAGCACCTAGGCAGCACTGAAGGGTGTGCACGGACACCCATTGCGAGAGAGCTGGCCCTGTGCTTGACAAGCTTCATAGCTTACAAGAAACTCTCCAGCCAGGACATCAACCTCTTCCCAGTTTGCAAAGTGTTCATTGATAAAGTCCCTTATTTCATCAAACATTTATAGCCATCCTGGGAGGAAGGCAAGACCAAAAAGTTGTTAGGCCACTTCAGTCCAAAAGCCTTCAGGTTGGCAGAGCCAGGAACTGGATGGGGAAGGGTGTGGTGGTCCAGAGCAGACTGTTGAAGCCCAAGTGGGATGATAGGGGTGTCCCCACAGGAGGATGGTCCACGTGGGGTGTTGGAACCCTAGCGGAATAAGGAGCATGTCTGCAAGTATCAGAGCTGGAGTGGAGGAAGGAGGGAATCTATCCAGGAAGGAGACCCAGGACAGGGGAGGGGGCCAGCAGCATGAAGACCTGTGATATATGGGGTCTCTGATCAAAGGAACAAGCGAATTAAGGATAATGGAAACCAGCTTTCTCCTTACCAGAGAAGGAAGCTGAAAACAGAGACAACCACACCCCCCTCCCGCAAAACAAGAAACTCAAAAAACCGGAATTACCCCTGTGATATAGATTGGATTTGGAGGTACTGGTGTGAATATATGGTTTTCAAAGTACTGTCTATATAGCTATAGATAAATACAGATATAAATATGGGTGCATGTGTGTGCAATGAACCCACCCAGTGCCCAGATATTATTTCTAAATACTACTATCTACTAACAGGGTCCAGGGTTCCTTGGAGAAATGGCTGACTCCAGATTTGGGACTGGGAGAGTACACGGTAAGTCTGGATTGTCTCGTGCCAAAAAGTAAGAAAGTATTCACAGAATAGGTGCATATCAAAAGGACACTGCAGGTAGCTTGAAGGGGCTGCCAAGGGCCAAATCTGGGACAACTGAAATATCAAAATAAATAACGAGGGTAAAGAATTGCATCCCATTGAATAAAATGGGCCAGTATGAGTTCATATTGACAGGAATAAATGAGAAGTTTGATAAGGAACGGGATATTGACATAGTCTCAGCATATATCTCTACAAGGTACATAATAATTATGAAAAGAAAACGTCATTAGGGTGAGGTCACCTTAGTCATGTGACTAAAGTTAACAACACCAGTGATATGACAACCCAAATCGTACCCCGCCTGATAGGATGCAGTCAGCAGGACACAGCATCCCTTGTGTGATGTGACGTTGACATCAAAGATCTGAACCTAATCACGAGGAAACATCAGGAAAACCCAGACTGGGGGCTGTCCTATAAAATAAGTGGCCTAAAGCAGTCAAAGGTGTCTAGGTCATGAAGGCCAAGGGAAAACCTAGGAACTGTTCCAGATTGAAGGAAACGAATGATGTGACAATTAAAGAAACACAACAAAGCAACGTGTGATTAGGAACTGGTCCCCTGTGCTAAAAAGGATGTTATTGAAGGAACTGGTGAAATGTGAATGCATTTTGATTTGGGTGGTTGTATGGTAGATTTTCCCCTTGTTTGTAGGAAATACACACTGAAGTATTCAGGTCAATGGAGAACCACATTGGCACCATGTTGGCAACTTTCTCTCAAAAGGTTCAGGAAGGGAAAGTTCTTTGTACTGAAGGTATGACTTTTTTCCTAAGTTTGAGACTGTTTCAAAATAAAACAGTCTTTTAAGTCACCAGACCCATTTTACAGATGAAGAAACAGAGCCCCGAGGGGTGTGAGGTTACCCAGCCAGTGTGGGACGGCTCCAGGCCAAGAACTTCACTTCCTGGACTTTTATTAGGCAACATTTTCACTAGAATTAGAGAGATGTAAAGAGAGATTAAAGCAAATAATTTCATCAGGAGATAAATCCAGGTCTGAAACCTCACTCTGTGTAGTTTCTGTGTGCCTGGATCCCCGTATTGACTTAATCAGGCTCCTGTCATTGTCCAAGGAAACATTCAGTGCTAATGTGATTCTACATTGGAAAAAGCCAAGTGACACCAACAAATGCTTTGGGGATGGAAGGTTTGGGAACACTTTCTTTCATTCCGTTTTCTGCCAGGTCCATAAAATAGAGAAGCTGTTATGTTACAAAGCAAGTGATCTCCTTCTTTGAAAGCCGTGAGTGGTCTGAGGGTGGCAGTTGGGAATGGTGGTTAAATTATTCATCGTGACAGAAATAATTATCTTCATACAGGAGACAGAAGCCCAAATGCCTTTTAGGAAGTCAGCTTGAGAAATTGCTCCTCGGTGATAATGAAAGCAATGATGTGTCCCGGGCCCTATTCACAGGCTCTGATTTTTTCCAGCGTTTGCAAATAATGTCCTGTGCTAACAAAAGTCTGATTAACAAAATTAAGACGAGATTGGGCTGTAGCCTTAACCTCTCCCCTGGGCCTTCTAGTTTCTGGATTTCTAGGATGACTATCTTTTCAGGACAGATCTTTCTTCCTCAGTCTCATTCTTTATCATCTGGAGTTGAGGCAATTTGATGGTTTTCTGCCATGACAGGGGTTAGAGCTGAATACATATCTCCTCACAAGAGGTTCTGCTACACTAACGAGTACTATCCCATTATGTCTCGGATGCAAAATAAAAAACACTGTTGATATCTTGTCACCTTTCCCTTCAAAGTTTCATACTTTGCTTCAAAACAGAAATATAAGCAATGGTATAGAAAAAGTGGCAAAAGTGGTTTTTATCAATTTTTCTTATTCATGTATAGTTGATTTACAATGTTGTGTTAATTTCTGCTGTACAGCAAAGTGATTCAGTTT